AAACACAATGGGAATGGTGCTTACTCGTGTGTGTCAACATGAGGAACCCATGATGTGTACTGCCTTTTTCATGAGACATTAGATCACCTTTGTCATATATGAAAATACAAGCAGTCACTGGATAACTGCCAGAAAAGTCTGTCTGACAAAAGGCACTGAGGAACCCTGTAAGGGTTAACCCTTTCACAACAAGATGCCTCGAAGGTAATCCAAAGAAGTCATGTTAGCACAAGTCTGTAGCAGAAAATGCATATTGTGGCATATACCACCCACTCTTGTTTAGAAGATAAGATGGTCTGGAAGACAAAATGTGTGTAACAGAAAGAAAATATGGATTCAGCAAGGGACAAGAGAAGGCCCCCAAAGGGCAACATCAATAGATGAAAAAGTGGTTTTCACATCCCTCTTAAACTCTAAATTCAGCATCTCGGCCATTGTGAAGCATGAGCAATAAATTTGAGAGAGATCGATCTAGAATGATAGCTGTTAAGCCTTTCTAAATAGAAGCCAAACAACCAGTTGTTGCTTAACTTAAAGTTGTTATCTGCAAAAAAAAAAAAAAAGTTTTTTTTTTCCCATTGAAGAAAACTGATTAGGCACGAATCAGACAGCCTATTGCTTTTTGACTTAAGTCCAGTCTGTAATAGCATAGCTAAAGGTGTCTGTCTTGTTCACAAATTGCTTCATGATCTTGGGCTTTTGATCCAAAATATTGTGTCAGATCACTATCACTAATGAAATTCTTATTGTGTTTCTTTGCTTTTGTGTAGATATTTACCCATGAGGAGTCTAACGTAGTGAAATCTTTACATAAGGCTTGTGCAGAGTTTGCTTATATCAAATTTAAGCTAAAGCTTTTAAATCTGGAGAGGATTGCTGTTCCCTCCTGCCTTCAATTATATTGACACAGGGTTCTATATTGTTGAAACAACACAGAAATCAGTTACAGTGGTTTAATAAGGAGAAGAAACGAAGGCAAGCCCAAGCCCCTTAATTTCCAAAGCTATATAACACGACTTTTGCTCACATTAAACACTTGCATGAATACTGCATTGATCTCTCTATTAGGAAATTAGCTCTTTTCACGGTAGCTTTAATCCTAATGAGAATTATTTTTGGACAGCTATTTATTTGCCTCTTTTTTGTTTGTTTTATTTAGGAAAAATGCAAAAATCTGGAGGCACATATGTGGGCCAAAAGACTACACAGTGTAGCAGAGACTTCACTCTTGTCCAACTGTCGTGCTACAGAAAATGAGACATCTTAACAAGGGTCCAAAGTGCAGGATAAGGAAAGCATCCTGATTTCCAAGGAAAGTTATGTTATGCATCCAAAGGATGAGAAGCAAAATGTGCTACTGTATCACACAGTTTTCTTTACGTGCCTTCTGAATTATGTAGGGGTTGGGAACTATGGAGAAAAAAAGTAAAAGAGTTAATCCTCCATAGGTGTCGGTGTGTCTTAACACTCTGTGTATATGTGTCTTGAAAGTATGGACCAGGCAGAAGTTCTAGAACAGAATAAAAGGAAAAATAGGCTGAATATGAGTTCTGTCAGTAACCAAAGAAGCTTGGGTACAGTGTGTATTCCTCGGAGCATCTGGACCATGTATTTCAGCATCCTGGCAGAATCCTGTGGGAATATGGCCTTTTCTTGGAGGTTTTTTTCCTCAAGTTACTCTATACATCAATTCTTCCTCTGTATAAATTTTAGTTTATAAATGTAGTCTTAGAACATTTGGTAATTTACAGCACCTTTCTTTGGCTAGCAGAAACATCTGGTTTCCACTCCCAACCCAGTCTACTTTCTATACAGAGTTTTAATGGTTTCCTTGGAAATGTGGAGATAGACCTGAATAAGGCAGAACTTGAATTGCTTCGTTAGGTTATGTCATTTTAATATGAGGACTTGAGAGGAATGGCCAGGAAACCTACTTCTAGTGATTGTGTTGGAGGCAACAATTCTAAATGCTTCTCTAGAACTCATGTTACGTTATGGTCATGGAGTAGACCATGCCAAAGACATCTACTTGGACACGTCTAGATTACTTGATGTGTGATGCTGCTAGCCCTTCTGCAGAATATGTACTAATATTTTAGTTAACTAATGTTTTAGTGGTAGTTATAGGTTTAACTAGTAACAGCCTTCTTATATTGGTAAGTGCCAGTTTCTTGTCTTACAGTACAGCCATGTTGCAAGGTTTGCTCTCATCCCAGTCACCGAGTTGAGCCCTGATTGCATGTCATGTGCAGATCTCCCAAGAGACAGACAGAAGCAGGCATAAATTCATGGTGAGCAGCATGAGGTTACACTGGGTTAGTAAGTGACCTGAGATGTAGCCTGTAATCCAGAGAATTTTCTTCATTGCAATACAGGAGTCTCCAGCAGATTAAAAAAACCCCAGAGTTATCAACCTGGTTTAAAATTTGGGAAGTTTTATGTTGCAAACGCTGTGCTGCATTTCAGTAAATTATTCACAAAGATTAGTGCTAGTAATTACTTCCATAAACCCTTCAACTGGTAGGAGACTGAATGGGAATCAGCACAAGATATAGCAGTGGCTAAAATACCTGTCACCAGGAATTAATAATTTCAAATACTGAACAAATCAGTAGTGCTTAAACATCTTTTGCATCTGCCAGTCACCCTATAGACTGTTCTTTAGAGCAGGTCCCTTCATTTTGGTATCATTAGTCTGAAGAAGACTGGTCTCTCCCATGTGTTGAATCATCAGTCAGATATTTACTGTCCCTTAGGTTCCCTCCATTTTTAGAACTGCTCTCAGGAATGAAATGAGAATTCAGTTTCAGCTTTGATGTTTAAGTATGTCCTGTTGAGCCTGCTCAGCCTGGCTGGAATACAGAAAAACAATGCCTGTTTTGATCCCTGCTGAAAACTAGATGAAGAAGGGGAAAAAAATAAAACAACAAAAACCCCTCAAAGTTGAGTTTGGTTTGTACAAAGCAGGTTGGGAAAAATGGATCTATTCCATCTTCTGTTAATGAATACCAGCTGCATTAAAAACAAATCAAACCACAAAAAGACCACCCAAACCCAGCTCTGGTAATGATATCTGTGTGGAAGATACTTTTTAAAAATTATTTTAAAAAGAAAAAAAATCAGAATTCTGCAGTTTTATCATAGTTCTACCACTGGAAGTTTTTCATGTCACGGTATAGTCTGACTAGTGCTATATATGTTGGTATGAATAATAAAGGGCACCCTCCTGTACCTGTTAGGTGCAAGTGCTTCTGTGATATATAGTTGACAGAGAATGTAGGGTGAGACCCCAACACCCACTCTTGTGGCATGCATAACTTAAAAGCAAAATTCTAAAAATTTTAATTACAATAGGAGCTTCAATGCATAAACACACTGAGGCTACATGCATACGCAGGTATGATCGGGCTCTAGGTTCCAAAGCCAGCTAAAGTTAATATGAAATCTATCCATGGGCATCTTTCCATTGTCTTCAGTAAGCACTGGATAACAGGTTTCCTGGCAGTGTGAAGAGTCCATGGGGCTGGAAAGCAAGAATCCAATGGAAGAGCATGGTGTCTGGGACAACGGCCTCCAGCACGCTTAAATGTCATCCAGGATTTAAGAGGCAGTGTTCCAGAGTGCATCTCCTGTAGCTGCAGAGCAAAACGCTGGTGATCACAGCTGCAACTGAGAGTCAGGATCCGAGGGAAGGTTTCAAGCTAAAACCTGACCTGGGTCTTGCCATTTATCAAGGAGAAGCTGCAGAGATGGATGCTGGGAGAGGTAGTTAGTTTGGGTGGAGAAACATGGGGTGGAAATAACTGAATCCCCAGCTCAATGCACTTGGTCAACAGTGGTGGGTGGCTCATCTGGTTACTCTGTGTGACCCAGATCCATGGGACAGTCCCAAGAAGTCCATCCACTGTCCACTGCTCACCAGTGTCCTTCCCATTGTGGAACCAGCTGCAGTGTTTCTGAGTTTTAATCTCTGAGGGCAACTTGTCCTAGGCAATGTCTTCTGCAGCTAAAGGCTGTGCCATGGGGTGTACTCCCTCCTCGCACAGACTGAGACTCCAGCAGCTGGAGGTGGGACTTGACAAAGGCACAATTCTTCTTCCCATCTTCTTCCCCTCATTCTCTCCTGTGGTCATCAACAAATCCCACGCCCGTCTGGGCAGCTAGCTGGGACACTTCAAGGGAAATCCCAAACAGATTGGCCTAGCTTCTTCCTAGGAGGGAATAGCTGAGCTGGGGTGTCTATCCAGGCACCCTCATCTGAAGAGTACACACTGCTCTTCCGACAAGTAAACCAAAACCTGGGAGTAATGTTAACCACCTCATGTGAGTCAAACCTTATCCAAAGGTTCTAGCACAAATAAAATGAAAATCTGCTTTTAAATCCCTCATTTATGACTAAGGATTTTCTTTGG